TCTTTAATTTTGAATACTTAATAGGATATTAACTGAAAAACAAAAATTTGGTGGAATCTTCATTGCTTATATTATACCTGCTCACTAGGGGAAAGTAGTACAGATCTGTTAACATATGCTGAAACAACACCATTTTGCTATGCAGCAATATCTCAAAAAATTGTATGGTAATTAAAGACCCTATATTCACCATTCTCAAAAGCTGATGTCTCTCCAGCCCAAGCTGAAGCAATCAGCTGGAGTGTTCTTGTCAGTACTTCGTGAATCCCTGTTTTTATGGGAGTTGTGTCCTGGCTGTTGCTGCCTTGTAGCTGCAATATCCTTTTGTGGAGCTAAAATCCCCTTGAGTTTGCAGGGCACTGGCCAGTTGGAGATTTGAAAAAGACTAGAGCCACCCTATTTTGGTTAGAGTGTTTTTTAAATAGTACATCTTTCTTTTATAAAATTGATTTCAATGGGAAATACAAGGATTTTTTTTCTGCTACTTTGATGCTTTAAGGCATTTTTTTCCCTGAGGAAGAGTGTACATAACAGAAATGACCAAAAATGGGCAAAAATACTGTCAGAAACACTGCATAAACTAAAAAAATGTTTTGTTATTAATTTCCCTCTGGCTTAGTGATTCATAGTGTTGTCTGTAATTAAAGCAGGTACACTATGTTTGGGTTAAACCTCCCTCTCTGCCTGTCTGCCTCCATAATATGCTGTTCTGACAATTCCCAGAAGTGATTGCTTAAATTTCTGGTTACTGATTTCAACAATGTTTTACAAGTACTGTAATTATCCTTCTCTTAAAAAAAGAAACAAACAAACAAACAAAAAACCCTGCAGTATCTTTAAGTATTTAAATTCAACATGCAACTTTCAGCTTTAAAACAAAAATATGTTTATGTAGCCCCACTAGAAAAAGAAGTCCTTATAAGAATCTTGTTATGCTTATTAACCTTGCTACACCTGACCACAAAATTTTCCTTCTGCTTGATGGCAAATGAAATTCAAGTAGGTTTCTTACTGTGAGGTTTACCTTACTGACCAATTCCGCACCTTCAAGATACTTTTTATTCCCAGTGTCAGAGAAGTGCATGGAGGAACTTTTCATGACGAACTGGGTAGGGAAGCAGCATCGTAGTGGGCAACACAGTATTTTACAAATGCTTTGTGAAGCATTATCTGCGGGAAGATGTAAAATTTAATGGTGCATTGTATCTGTTGCCTTTTGAAATTGTGGCATGACTTGTTTTTTTTGCCCTTAGTGTCATCTTTTTATTTCTTAAAAATTATTTATGTAGGTATTTGAAGCTCTTGCATACACTTGTGGCAGGTTTTGACAGAAGTGTCTTTTTCCTGCTGCAGAGAGAAAGCATGTACTGTCTGATGGTTCTTCTGGCCTGGGTGCAGCCTGGACAAATCCCACAGGAATGCTTCTGAGGATGGCCAGGGATATGTCAGCCAATTACCACTCCACCATACACAGGACTTTGGGAAGCATCTCCAACTGCACAAGGACTGTTTGCAACATGGTAGAATTTTACAGGGAAAGGTAATAGTGACCACATAGTAGCATCAGGTTTGATAACTGTAACTCAAGTTGCACAAGCAAGAGAGATATCAAGAGAAAAATTCTTAGGAAATTCTTCATTGTTCTGCTTTTTTTTCTATTTTTTTTTCTGTGCACGTGTGCATTCCTGTATAATAATTTTCTAGTCTATGGCTAATTCCAACTAAAGCTGACTTATAAACATAAATTCATAGAGGTCCTGTGGAAATAGGTGGTTAGTGGAATGAAATTTTATTACTATCCCACAGTGGAAAATACTGTAGTATGTTCTTGTCTTGTTCTGAAATACTGATGAACCTACTGCTGCGATACCTCAACCTTTGATTAACTTTTGATTAACAGGAGACCTTTCTCTGTCCAGTGATCACACAGCTGCTAGGTTCATAATTTAACAAATTCACTGAGATTTGACACCCATGTAAAATCTTTCTGCTTCTATTCCTGGTGTTGTGTGTTCTCTTTCCCCACAGGTAGCCTTTAGGTGTCACTCTTTGAGAGGATAATACAGCAGCACTATCTACCCTTGATTTTTTTTTTTTTTTTTTTTTTATTTCACTGTTTTCTCATTCAGATGCTCTGCCATATGACAAACTATTTGCACTCTCTCCAGTTTTGTACAGCCTAACTGCATGGCAGTCATGAGGAGGACCTGCCAGAAATGCGAAAATAATGACTCTGTGATGTAAGACTGACTTGATTCAGCTTCACTTCAGCCAAAACATACTCAGGTATGATGTATAAAGATATTTTTAATGTATAAAGAAAACATCATTTCAGAATCCAATTCTGAAATTGGATCAGATTATTAGTCCAATGCTCAGTAAATTACATCGAAATGGCAAAATGCCACAGTCCATTACAGTTCCACAGGAAATTCTGAACATAGCTGTGGTTTGGGGGAGCAAATCAAAGTTTGATTCACAGGGTAAAAGGCACTTTGGGAATTATCTGTGGGTTTTGATTTTCATTTATTTATTTATTTTTATTTTTTTATTTTTTTTCAAAGGAGAATCACCTGGAGGGAGGGCTCACCTGAATTTATCTAAAATATTTCCTTAAGTCCTCCGTTTATGGCACGTGTTATACTGGGATAAAACCGAAAGTTAAATCAGATTAACTGCTTCCTCTTTTACCTTGTTGATGGTACATGGCTGAGAATGCCATGCTGGCACTTGGGACCAACTGGTCTTTGTAGTCAGACCCAGTTCTTGTCTTTCTCAGGTTTAGCAAATGTCTGCTTATAGCTGTGTGTGTGCATATGTTTTGTGTTCATGATTTATTTGCAAATCAGATAAGAAAAGCAAATTCACAGACCTCATAGGTTTTTTTTTCCTCCTAGTTTTAATTTCTTAAAGACTTAGGTGTAACTGCATTTGTCCCAGGCCCTCCTTCCTTCTTCAGAAGCTGTAATGCTTTTTTTATGTCCATGGTGAAGCTCATGTCAGGCCTGCCTCAATATCGTCTTGCTTGGAGGGTCTGCTGGCAGAAGATCCCAACCAGTGTTTCACCCATGCATAAGCAGAAGCATTTGAATAGCTAGATGATCATTACTTGGTGTTCGTTAATGCTTCAGATACTGCTGCCCCCCTCCAAGGTTACCTTCTTCACCAATTGTATCTAGATACTTTCTAAACTAAAGTGGCATGGTGTCTGGAGCTAACTTAACATTAACTGAAGTGTGGGAGTGCAGGACAATAATCGCAGTTGCTGGGGGAAACTAGGAGCTTCCAAAGAGCAGCTTGGATCATGAGTGTGCTTCCAAGAGGAGGTGTGAGTCCCAGCCTGTTTCTTTCCTTATCTAATGAGGATGACTTGGCTGCAGTTAAGAGCTCAAACTCAATTCTTCCCGCCAGCCTCCCCTGTCTTTGGATGAGAAGCCTACAGCTGTAGTCATTGCTGCCACTTGCATCAGCTCATCTCAAACTGGGATGAACTGCTTATTATGTGACCACAGAAAAATGAAGCAACTAACTCGTAATTGAGGCCCAAATTAGGGATGTGAGCGTGGCTTGCTTTTTGTTCTTACTCGACAAAGGTTTAAGTTGATGTGTATTAATTTGAAAGCATTATCATTGTTTTCTACCTTTAATGCCCTAATCTGTGAAAAAAGAAACTTGCAGTAATTGCTCAAAAAATTGTCTAAGATGACTTGCCCTGGCAGGAGGGTTGGGGTAAGTCACGTGCTACCACTAGAAATGGTTGAAAGTCAGAATTTTTATATCATAGCTTCAGAAAGGTTTTTTTATCTCACTGAGAGCAAAACTTTAAAATTCCTAATAAATAAAATATATATATTTAATTTCAATTACAATATATCACTATTAAATAGCTGGGTTTAGTGACTTGAAAATAATAGTTAAATTCAGATCATATTTTAGTATCTTAACAGTAATACTAGATACTTCTATTTGCTATCATGTATTGGGTGCTATTATGGAAAATGTAAAGTGAAATTACTCTAAAATAAGAAGTTAGTCTTGGTATTTTTAATGTTTTTATTCTAAAAGATTTTCATACATAATTTGTGATAAAATTCACATGGGGTTCTGGTAATTTATCTTGAAATAGCACTTTTACCGATACATATTTCAATAAGAAAAGATCCTCCTGACTTGTTTTCCCCATAGTATTCCTTGTATAACATATAGTAGTGATTTATTTGTTTGCAGTTATATGTGAAAGTTACCCTCCATTTCATAATAGGCATAATTTGTAGAGAAGTTACAGTGAAAACCACTGCAATCTTATCTCTGTCTGTCAAAGCAACTTATGTGGGGTCACCAGAGCACAGAATTTGCAGAGATGCAGAGGCAATAGTCATAGCAGACAGCTGTAGTTGTGCTGTCTTTCTATCCGCTTTCCAGTTCACTTGAGGGTCCCATCACAGTCCTTTGTATGGGGTTACTCAAATCTGACAGTGGTGAATAACTATTTTTATGGGCTATGTCTTTAAACATAGAAGTAGCTGCTAGTAACTTCTAGTTTGTGACTCACTTTAGAAGCTGGTGGCTGGTGTGTTACTGTTCTTTATCTTTCTTGCTCGTGGAGACTTCATAGGCTTTCATGCTACTAGAAGAGAAATTCTTGGTCATTGAAGAGGTACCCTGTAACGCCTGTAAGCCTATACAATTTTTATGTTCTCTCCAGGATCCTCTTCTACCAATTTAGTGCTCCTTACCCCTTTGGGATTAGCCTAAGACAAAAAGTTTGATCTGTGTTATCCTTCCTGATGTATCACTGCAGCTGTAAAAGGAATCTTACACATGGCACAGAGAAAACACATTGTGCTTTTGAAATCAGTAGGAGGTGGAGCTATGAGTCAATTTACACCACTCTTGTTACCTGCTTCTGTTAGTTGGAAATTAGTGTGTTCAAGAAATACCTGCGAGCTGAGAGGCGTATGGACTGGCCCGATTTGCCTTTTATGAAAACGGGGATACAAATGGGATCGTCAGCATATTCACCTCTGGTAAGAGAAAATCAGCATCAAGGTTGGGAGGATCTGCATGGCTATTTTGGTTGTGGTTCATCAAGAGCAAAGGTTTGGGAAATTTTGCACTTTAGATGTCAAAGGAATCTATGGCATATGGATTTGCTAGAGTAAGTAGTGTATAGATGGGCTTAGTGAGACAAGGAGATGCATCCAGTCTTGCTATGGAAAAATAATAGGGCCCCTTATTGCTGCATTGTTGAATGTAAATGAAAATTGAAAACCAGAATTGTTGAGTTGTAGACTTCAGCATTGGCCTTCTCCTGGTTCCCCTTCCCCAGGATCAATTCATGCAACCAAAACTGCACGGGAAGACCGGAGTCAGGAGGAGGAATCAAGGAAGACCACCCAGTGCTGCAGACAAGGTACTACCTACAGGAGGGCGGCATCTGTGTGGGGAAGCAGGGCTTCTGGGCACACACTTGAGCAACATCTGTGCTGCCTGGAGTCATCTTCAGCCTTTCCCATTTCTCCCTAAGCTCTAAAGTTATGAGAGCAGTTATTTTTAATGGTTAGTTAAGGGAACATTTGTTTCTTTAATGCATGTGTTCTCTAGAATGGAACACATTCCCTCTGACTTCATGCTTGGGAGGGTGAGGAAGAAAATGAACTTGTGGTTAAGATGCTAGACAAGGAACCAGGAGAGCTGGATTATAGTTCTGACTTTACAGTGGCCTCATTACCTGACCTTAATCACACTTCCTAAGACCCAAAGTTTATCTGGATTTCATAGGGACAATGATTTAATGACATTTTTGTGAAAGCTGTCTTTGTCATATTTCTCACTGCTGCCTGGAAAAGTGCATTAAAGCTTAAAGAAATACTTGATATTTAAAATAGGAAAATATTAATTGCATTAATATGAAAAAAATCCATGATTAAAGTATTTGTCTTTGTGTTTCCTGTGCTATAGGGTAGATTTCATTAGTTGTATGCTAGTCCTTGGCTGAGTTAAGCTTTTTTCCCCTCATTTCTGTGCAGGCAGAAGTGCCTCACTTGTGCTGGCTCACTGTAAAAATTATAAGGGTGAGAAATGTCCACAAAGCTGACCTGGGTAAGTATCACTGCATGCTTGGCACGATTCATTCCCTTCTCACTCCAGAACTACTAGCAAGTTCATTGCTAGTGGTTATATAAGAGACCACAATAATCTCAATCCAATGCAGTTAGGTAAATGCTGCTGGCTTACAGCAGCATCTCGGGGTTTTAGGCTGCAGGAGTTGGCTGTTTGCTATTTTTCTTTTTTCTGAAATGATTTAGGCTCAATTGTTCTGGCTTAGAAAACAAGTTAAAATAAAATCAACAAATTATACATACGGGGAAATAAGACATCCTTCCTTTCACTGATTCTTCAATATTTCAAATTCCCCAATTTTCCAATGTCCATTTATCCAGAACCTGTGCATTTTCCTTATGAAAACAGCGTATTTGTGAAAGATACTAGAAAAAAAATCGATGACTGTGTTTGATTCTGCTAACTTTGTCTCTACTATTTGGCTCTGGATGACTGATCATTGAAGTTACAATCGGGCTCCAAATGGGTAAAAGGATAAAAATGGATAAAAATAAAAAACCCTACTGCTCTGATAATTACATAACTTTTTGCTGATGCAGTGAGTCAAACGGATTGCTACGTGAAGCTATGGCTGCCAACAGCCTCATTTCAGGAAGCCCGGACAAGAACCGTGCACAACTGCAAAAACCCTGTCTGGAATGAGACTTTCCACTTTATTATACAGAGGGCAGTTAAGGTAAGATTTACCCCATGTTAAAAAACAGAAGCTTCACCTGTTGTGCTCCTTGCTCAGGGCTTGTGGGGCGAGCCAGGCTCTAGCAAGAGCATGCAAGTGGAGCGGTGCTGATGCTGGGGAGTCTTAGCTACTGCACATCCAGCTCTTTGAAACACTAATGCAACGGCGTTCCTCCACCTTTCCTCATCCTGCTTTGGTGGTTGAAAATTGGATTTTTGTGCAGTAGGCTGAATATGTTGCTGCCAACCAATCCCAGCACCTGCCTGAAGGATTTCTGTGCATTTTCCCAGTTTCCCACCCAGGGGAAGTTACCAATACCCAATTACAAATTACCAAAATAATACCTGCTGTATATTGATTAAATATGCTTTTTTTCCACTGGCTTTTTTTTTTTCCAAGGGGAGGAAAACTCTTCCTTTCTGCCATTACCTCATCCCGTAGACAAGGCATCCCATGGTAATGTAGGACATAAAGTTCCCAATGGCAAAAGAAATATTAATGTGGGCAGGTGAATGAGCTTCAAAGCCGAACTATGAAGTTTAAGGGCAACAGGAAAGAGGGACAGATAGAGCAATAACTTGTAGCAGAGGACTACAAACCTCCTGTCAGAGATTGACCTCTAGTGCAAACTTCTGCTGATAGGTTGAAATTTCTCAAGGTAGCAGTTTTGAAAGTACACTCAAATATTCTCGGTGAGCAGAATGTGTAGTCTCTACTTATTCAAGTGCATTTTACCATCATAACTGTTACTCATGCGTGGAGGGCTTTTTTTGAGCTCCTACCATCAGTTTTTCTGAGAATTACCCTTCTAAATCAGTATGTGTATTTCTAGTCTGAATGGGAGAACTTAACCTAAACTAAGAGCTGCTGAAGTAGCTCAGTGAGGCAGCTGCACTCTGGCTTGCCTGCACTGAACCACACCTGGGCTGCATCTGAGCTTATTTTGGTGCTTACCAGCCCCAATTTTTGACTTTTACATCCTTTACTGACTCTCTTCTCAGAATAATCTGGAGCTGACAGTCTGTGATGAAGATACTTTCACACCAAATGACCAGCTTATGACCGTTTGCTTTGATGTAGCTAAAATCCCGCCTGGAGAAAAAGTTCACCTGGTTTTTGAATTGAATCCAGAGGTAAGAAGTAAAAAAGACGAGAAAAAAATAGATGGATAAACAAAATGATACTACTGGACAGAATGTTCTCTGAAGGTAGTACCCACCTTAAACATAGTACTTATCCACTAGGACTATATTTAGAATAACCTTATTAAAGATACAAAGTTAAATGCTCAGGGCTTAGGAGAAGGCAGAAATAGTCACTTCAGTATTGTAATTAGAAATAGATTTCGTGCTCTTTTTTTTTTAAATTAAAATAATGGAGGTTTGTCTTTTAAAAAAACAAAACATGTACTTAGATTACTTTAGAAATTTAACACCTTCTCTGTTTAAAGCTTGCAGATAGTAATGTGACTTAGGATCTTTTCCATAATTCTGTTAAGGGTTTGCATTTACTGTTCTTAGGAGTTGCATGTGTTCAGTTACTTTCTAGACTAATCTGTCAGTCTGTCTAGAAAAAAAATCGTGCCTCCTCTTTATTTTTACTGTTTTAGAAAGAGAGAGTCTACTAATCACTCTCCTAGAAAGTTAGTTCTTCCATTACTAAGATTTTTCAGTATTCCTGCTCAGGCTGACTATGGCCTTCCTGAGCTGGGCATCATGTGATGGAAACTGAGTGCTTGAAGCATGAATCAAGGCACGAGCTGGCTCCGAGCTGGGTGTGCACAACGTGGACTTAATCTGCGCTGCGCAGCCTTAATAGCAGGCAGCGTTGCCACCACTGCCCGTAATGACGGGTTTCATCTGCCCAGGTATCTCAAAAGGAGGGATGAGGAGGGGCGATTGGTAAGGTGAGCTTGCTTCCTATTGCTTCCTACCGTCCCTGTTGCCTGGTGCGTGGTCTAACAATTCTTTCTTCTGCTTTGCTCCAGTCTTTCAGTCAGAAAAACTCACCATCACCACAAAAAAAAAACAACAAAACAAAACAAAAAAAAAACCCACCAATGAAAGGAACTTTAAAAAAAAAAAAAAAAATCTATGTTTGCACCAGAATAAGGATGATGAGAACATAACATCTGTCACATGGTGCCTATCTCATAGGTCAAGATCTTCTAAACATATTCTGCCGCTGTTTTGATAAATCTGAAAGATCAGTGAGTCTGGATAGCACAGATTTGTCAGGATCTGGCACTAAATGAAATTTTCATTGCAGCTGTGCAAGGAGACTGCTTCTAAAATCCATCCCTACAAAAGTGCTATGCTAAGGGGCACAAATTGTGACCGCTGCTCTTTTTCTCATAAAATAGAAGCTTTGGGGAAAACCAGCAGGCAGAACAACCAGCTGCTTCAGTTCTTACAGAAGTCACCTACGATTTCACATTTCTTGAGTGGAGTTAGTAAATACAAAAATACTCACTATCAACTTTACTGTAGGGATGTCTTTTCTTTAGCTACATTATCAGATTTCACCCAGTTTTCATAGTCTCTTTACAAAGTTAAAACGTGCTGTGCTGCCAAACTGAAAGCGTGTTTGGCTGTAAAGGTTCATTTCTTCTCGATATGAATGAAGAAGCTTTCCACGTGAAGCTTGTCAGGAAGAAAGATTTATACCTTCCACTAAGTACTGTTTTCCTCCCTGTGGGTGATATAGGAGATATCCATGATATGTGGTTTTGGGTATGGTATTTCCTGAGCTGGTTGTGTTCCATTCAGGAACCCAGGACCTAGGAAATACCTTCAGTGAAGTAATTCAGAGCGTTATTCATTGCCTCTCATACGCTATTTCTTCATTCCTTTTTTCTCCTACTGTTCTGTGTTTTTAATGTTTCTCCTTGTTTCATGCTGACTTGGCCCTCATCCCTGCCTTTGTGATTTCAGTCTCCCACTTCCCTGGCAATTTTCCTTTCCCAGCTCAATCTCTTCTCCCACCCCTTGTTTCATGTTTAGTCCCTATACTCTACAACTTCCTCTGCTTTATCCCACATGTACTCACCATCTGGTTCCCATTTTTCTCAAGCATGTTTCTCTGTCTACCTGTTTATCTCTCTCTTTCTCAGTGTTCATTGACCATATGTCTCCTCTCCACAATATATGAACTGCAGGACTTTGCATCTCCTCCGTGACACTTTGCTCTGCTCCTCGACTTGACAGCTGAGTGTTTGTAAATGACAGAGGCATTACACAAAAGGGTGGCTAAAAAAATCTCTTCATTTTAGATTGTCTCAAAGAAAATAGGCATGGCAAAATTTTATGGGAGAGGATTATTTAAAAAAAATAGAGAGTTCCATCAAAGGCAAAAACTTTCCTATTTATTTTTCTTAAAAAAAAATCTCATTTTCAGAATCGGGAAGAGCTGGAAGTGGAATTTTTACTGGAAAACATGTGAGTAAAGCCTAAATGTTCTAGAATTTGTTACCAAAAAAGATGCCATTTTAGAGAATAATAACGCAGCATTAGCGAAGTAACTGCATGTACCTAGCCTCAGATACTCCATTCCTTTCTCTTCTCGTTCCTTTTCCATTGTGAATCTGGTGAATTCCCTTATAGAGATGAAAGTTATTATTGCAACTACTGTAATAGTTCCAGTTTCTGTTAACATCCACCTGCAGCTATAAATATTCCTTTTGTAACTCAGCTGTGGCAGAGATGCTGCTGCTCAGGGGAGGTGAGGAGGAGGGAGCATCTCTAGGAGTCTTGGGGCTGTGGTGTGGCAGTGAGCACCAGGCTAAAGTGAAAGATAGAAGTGCCAAGGCACTTGGCATATAGAAAAACTGAGCTCAGGGAAGCTAAATGTGAAGCAAATGATACAAATTTGATTAATGATTGAAAAGATAATCCATCATGTACCATCCCTTTAATTAGACCTTTTTCTTTTTTTGTTTTTCAGTCCAGATGTATCTGAAAACATCATTACTAATGGCGTATTGGTGGTAATCATTTTACTTGCTTCCGTTCTTGCAGTGCAGAAGACAGGGTTAGAAGTTGTCCCTTAGGCATAGCCATCACTCCTTTTCAGATAAGGCACAAGTGTGACTTGAAACCCTTGAACTTGTTTGTGTCTGTGTGGTGTCAGGAGAGCCTGGGGTTTGTGCTCTGCATGGTGTCGCTGAGCTGCCACTGGTGAAAGGCCAGTAGACAAGGAAAAGAAGGAAACTCAGAAGCCAGTAAATCTAGTGCCACTGCAAATTTATGACTAGATACTAGATTACTACAGTCTTAGAGCTGAATGCTCTTTTCCCATTATCTCTGAAGTGTTGTGTGCTGCCCCTTTTTCCTCTTTTGTGCATCACCACTCCTAGAAGTTTCAGCTTCAATCCAGAGGCCTTAAAATCAGGCCCATCTGTTGTTCCCCAGAGCTCACAAATATCCCTCAGCTTGCTCTGCTGTAGATGGAGGTTAAAACATGGCCTAGAAGGGGGAAAAATCCTTCTGTTAACTGCTGAGGATTTAATTATATTTAAATCTTACAGGTCATTTCCTTCATTGAGCACAATAGTGCTTCCAAGTTGATGGAAGCTGAGAATCAGCCTTCCCCATTTGCCTCATGTTCACAGGACATCATGGGCAAGTCTAGTGCATCCACAGGACCTCTAGATCTTCCATGAGGATCCTGAACTTCCCTAGGAGCAGTGACCAATGATTTTCTTGCTTCTCTCTTCCAGTCTCGAGAAGTTTCCTGCTTGGAAGTTCAGGTGGATACAATTAAAACGAAGAACCTTTTCACAAGTGAGGTTATTGATTTAAAAGATTTGTGACTATTTTGTATGCTGTGGCAGATATAGCTGAACGTAGAACATATGTGATCCATTTTATTTTCTTCGTATGTTTACCCTGGGAAGCAGAAGTCCTGGTCCAAATTCGTGTTGACTGCATTAAGGCTGAAACTTTAATCAGGACATATTCTGTTGTTGTTTTCCAGTGTGAGAGAGAGATTATTCTGTGCTTTGCATCTTGTCTTTAGGGAGAGATTTCACTTTCACAGTGAAAGGATCCTATGAAGGAAGGCAAGATATTTCCTTGGATTGTGGTTCCAGCCAGAAAGGCAGCGATACAGCCCTCTTCCACTACGCCAAGCACTGTCAACCCAGGCTGGAGATGACACTGCCAAGAGAGAGCTTCTTCTGTGGTGTATGTCCTTGCATAGAGACAGTGCTAGCAGCCCAAGTAACTTGGGCAAAGCATTATGAATTAGCCCTTGCCTGGTGGATTTGTATCTGTGTGCTGTAAACCATATTATAACAATCCTTTTTCTGCTTTAATTCAGCATAGCTTAGATAAAAGGAAAAGAGATGTGAGTAGTCCCCTGGTTGTGTCTCTGAATTCCCTGGACTTGCGAGAGAAAGTATCAATAGCAAGGGTGAGTAGCCTTTGAAATTATTTAAATGTTAGCTATATTTATGTGATGATACCTGGCTTCTTGCTAAAATTATACTTGCTGAGCTTGCTTAGTTCTTCTGACATTTGAAAATATAATTGATGTTCAAGGAAAGAGTAGTACATTCAGAACTGCTAATTTCTTTAAGATATGTTTTTAAAACAAATGTAGTGATTATTGTGGGCCGAAGGCCTGAGGATGGACCAAAGAGATATGACTATAGATCAGAATAATTGCTTATACTGTAAAAAAGGCTCTCTTCAGACTTTGAACTCCACTTAATTTATGGTAGTTTCACTCTTGATTTTTTAGGGTGAATCTTACGATGTGCGTGTGAGGGAAGAAGATGGGTAAATCTTTTATTTCTTTTGAATAAATACTTATGTCAGCTCTTATCCTTTCCAAGCACGTTGAAAGATTTACAGGTTTAACAGATGAAAGGTTTACACCTTAAACTAGCTCGTTGTTGCAAGACGATGGAATAAAGGTTACAACTGATTTAATGGCACTAAAATATGGGGAAGTTTTAACAGATTGATGTGCTTTTGAATGGGTTCTTAGTTCAGCATAGGATAGGTGGTGGGTTGTCATGGTATGTAAGCAATGAAAGTACTTCCCAATGTTGCTGTTGAGAATTGCGCTGGTAAGTAACATTTATAGGTAATTCCTATGGATTTTTTATCCATATGTATGGTAATGCATTTGTATCAGGCTTTTTAACATCAGTGTTCAGTTGTCAGTCTCCTGCAGGTCATTTCCAGTGAAACAGTAGGCCTGACACCCGTGGGTTCATGAGCAGGTTATTTTTTCTGCGGGCAACATTACCCCCCAGTGGTTAATGGCTCCACTGCAAGCAGCCTGTGTCGGCGGGGTAAATGAGCCCTCCCCAGGAGCTGTCCTGGAAACTCAAGGTTTTCAAATCACTGGCTCACAAGAACTTTGCAATCGTGTAAGATGAAGGCAAACATTTAAGAGACCCTTTCTGACTCAAGTATTTGCAATGCAAGTTCCTAGCAGAGCACTAGCTTGTACTGAGGTTTCAGTAATTGCTTAAGCTGTTGAGGCTGTTCAGCAGGCACTTGCATAGCAAGATATTGTTAAGAGGTACCCAGATCTGCAGGCTCAGAATGGTGCAGCTTTGAATTTAATTAATATCTCTTGTTTTTTGCCAACTGAGGCTCTGATTCATTGTATTTCCTATTAACTGTGTGAAATAATTCAAGATGCATTTCTGATATGTCTGCAGAAAGGTAGAAATACAGGACCTCTGATAGCTGTGCACATGCTGTCATTTGCAACAGTTTGGTGCATGTACAGAAGCATCCTTTCTGGAAACTGCTTTGTTGTGACTGAGTTTTATGTCTCAAGCAATAGCTGTAGAAATGGCTTGCAGCTAATGTTTATTTTGTGTTCTGGCCTTCTGCTCTAGATGTAAGGACTTGGATTTGCGCTTGGGGTTTGATCTATGTGCAGAGGAAAAGGATTTCATCTGTAAAAGGAAGAAAGTAGTTGCTGCTGCTCTGAAACAAGTTCTTCAGCTGGATGAAGACCTGCAGGAGGACGAGGTGTGTGGGACAGCCTTTGGCACTCGCACTGTTCAGTCCTGCTTTGAATGAAGTGGATGCAATGTACTCGCATGTCTGCCCATACTTCTCTTCTCCATCTTTTTGGCTAAAATATACAGACCAAATTCTCACTTGTTCCCAGTATATGCCCAAGAATTTTTGGCACAGAGGGTGGAAGAGGAGCTCTCACGAGGTCAGTTACCCTCATTCTCTGCCAGTCCTTGGCGTGGCTTAAAGCATCCCAGTGCAGGACGTGAGCATGGAGGGAGCTCAGTGTGCAGGGGCTGCCGTAGCGTGAAGGAGCTGAAGCACCACTGATTCACCATGGTGGAGTGGCCATGGGGCGCCCTTCATGGGGACACTGCTCCTGGGGCTTACTGGGTGCTCTTGTCACAGGAAGACTCGTGGTGAGCAATCCTTAATGCTCAGAAACCTGGGCAGTTCGGTCAGCCAGGTCAAATGCTTATGGACTTAGATGCTGAGTAGGATAGGACTACTTTTTTTTTTTTTATTTTTAACTAAATAAAAAAAAATCTAGAACTTGTACTTCTTGTAGAAGAACAGGCTCCCAAGTTAACTGGAAAAAAATAATTAGGAGTAAAGGAAGGAATAGAAAAGTCTGGCAGCGTGGAGATCAGAAAGCACAGATGTGAACCAGGGGTTGCTGCAAGTGACTCTGAGGTGGATCCTCAGAGTATCATAAAGGGATATGGAGTCTCGTGAATAATACTATAATAATAAATCCAAACCAACAACAAACCCAAAAGCAGAGAGAGGTGGTAAAATGCAGTGAAGCTGAGATTGAAGGTAATAGCATGATACACCAAATGTGACTTAATTTTTTTCGAAGGAAACGCATGCCTAAGTGCATAAATGGAGTGAATTGAGTCCAGCCCCCCCTGATATTTAATGCTTCTTTTTCTAAGTGCCAATCACTTATTTCCTCTGTTAATGAAGAACTCTGCCTTTGTGTCCTGGCCAGGTGCCCGTGGTGGCCGTCGTCACCACAGCGGGGGGCGTACGGTCCATGACCTCGATGTTTGGCAGCCTTTTGGCTCTCCAGGAGTTGGGTGTTTTGGACTGTGTTTCATACCTCAGTGGTTTATCTGCCACAACATGGTAAGGAAAGTTGGGGCTCCTGTTTACTTGCTCGTGGGAGCAGAGCAGAGCTGGTGAAGGCACTGCCTGCCTGAGGGATGACTATAGATGAATTGAGTGAGAGCTGCTGTAAGTATAACTGAGTGCCCTGAAGCCTTTTTGAGAAGGGAAAGAAGAGAATGACAAGCCTGAATCAATATCAATGTTGTACTGCAGTTCAATGTAGTTGACAATCCCATCTGCAGTTATTTTATGGCTTGATTATATGCCTTTCTAATGTGACGTGTATTTTACATTCTCTTGGGGGCTGTATTTATTTCTGTCATAAAACTGGTGCTTGGCACATAAAGAATGGGAGACAAATATTTTTTCTCTTTTTTTTTTTCTGAATGAAGCTGTTGGGGTAACCATCATCAAACAAAAGTTGTAGCTTGAAACAATCCAAAAAGGATAATTTTAATTAAAAATATGCGAAGTTTTGGATAGCTCTTTTTCATTTGAGAAGAAACAAGATGATTTGGAATGTTTTCACACAGGAAAATATCATTGTATAATCTGAATTCTGCTTGAAGCTTTGAAATGCTCTCCCAAGGTGAAAGCTGGAGGGAGGCAGCCTCATGTAACTTGAAGCAGAGCTATTTAGTATTACAAGTGTCTCAACCCCATGAATTTGCAAAAACTTCAGTCCTGAAAAACAGATTTCGTTTTTATCAGGACCATGGCAAAGTTATATGAAGATGCAAATTGGTCACAAAAGGATCTCAAAGGGACTGTTGATGATATCAGGAGACATGTGATCAGAAGCAAGCTGCACTGTTTCTCACTGGATCATCTCAAGTACTATGAAAAGGAGCTTTGTGAAAGGAAGCAAGAGGGGCACAAGGTGTCTTTCACAGATCTGTGGGGGCTCTTCATTGATTCTATGTTACATAATGAGGTATTGTATATACATCCCTTTTTCAGAGAAATTCTGATTTTTTTTAGCTGTGAAATTCTGGATTCAGTTATATCCCATGAGGAAAGGCCCAGCTGATATTAATACAAGATTTTGAACTAAAATATGTGTTTTGGTTTGTCTGATGATGCATATACATATATTTGTGTGTATTCTTCATAAACAGGAAAATACTCATAAACTTTCTGATCAGCAACTGGCACTGAATCAAGGGCAGAATCCACTGCCTATCTACCTGTCTCTCAATGTCAGAGATGACTTTAGCACTCTGGATTTTAAAGGTAATGATTTTTGTGTATGTTTCTTATACATCTAAGAAGTTTCTTTTTAGGGTTGGGTGAATGCTCAAAGCTCCTTTTAATTATCTAAGTTTCTTAAATATTATAAGCTTTTAAAAGCTTTCTTTTAAATAATTTCTTTCTTTTACTTCTCTGTCTTCACATTGGGGTTCTGGCTTGGAGGAAAACTATGATTCCACATATTATGAGATCTTCCTGTGTGAAGAAGCTGCCCTGCTGCTTGCAGCCTTGAGACCTGCTGCTGTTGCTCTGTCCTCCTCCTCTCCATTTGCTCCATGTGACCTCTTTCACCTCCTTAGCTTGTTGCTCAAGGCAGCAGTATCCAAGAAAGCCATGAACAGTGGGATAAAGAATGGGCAAGGAGCAGGAAGAAAGGGAAGAAGTGTGTGGGGGAATGATGATAGGCAGCAGCTATGAGGCCCCTGAGACAACTTGGAGGAGCAGTGGTGTTACGTGCCCTGAGCAGCAGTACCAGTCGTTGACCTTTACCTGTAATGTCATCTGGTCCGAACAGAATGTGGTCATCTGCTTCCAGACTTGCAATCCAGTGCCTTCTCCCAACATTTGGGAAGGTGTTTCTCTGTACATACAAGTCTTTTGAGAATCACAAGGCAACAGTTAACAGCATCTGAGCCTGAACAATAGCTGGTGTTGCTGACCCTCGGAAGGCAACAATACCACAACTGGAGTAGGACCTTAACCATCAATGGCCTTTCAGCCTTACTTTTTCCTTCTTACTGCTGAGCTAGATCTGAGCCCCAGGCTGAATGGTTTTCCAGGGCCATTGGAGGAGGTGTGGTTAGCTTTTTGACACACAGTATGTTGGAGGACACTTAGTCTCTTCAAAATATGATGGTCTGTCAGCATGTTGAAGCAGCAATTCGTATTCTGCTGGTTTGGGATTTTCAGATAATTGAGAGCTTTTACTTGTGATCAGGTAGCTGCAGTAAGTCCTTGTTTTTGATGCCTTCTTTGCAGAGTGGGTGGAGTTCACACCTTTCGAGGTGGGTGCCCTGAAGTATGGAGCATCCATTCGGGCAGAGGATTTCGGCAGTGAGTTCTTCATGGGTCACCTGATGAAGAAGATCCCAGAATCCCGGATCTGCTTTTTGGAAGGTGATTTATTTTCCTAGAAAAGCATCAACTTTGTAAACACGTAGATGACAACAAAGAGTGATGTTCTAATTGCTGCTTGTCTGCAAGTAGAAACAGTAGTACTAGATAACTTGCCTGTTTTGGATTAAATCTATGGTATCCTAAAGTAGCAAAAAAAAATTTGTAGAGGAGGTAAATTCCTAGGGCAGATGGAATTAATTTGTTTGGCTTCTTAAATTCTACCAAAACAGAATACAGCTTTTAAAACTAGCTTTTGAAGTATTTAAAATCAGTAGCCTACTTTTATAAAACACCAAATGGCATTGCATTTTGTATTGATGCTCCAATTCATAAAATAGCACAAGTTAGGATAAGATTGAATTAGTGTGGAGTTATGTGTAAAAAGCAGTGTTCAATTAAACGACTGCAGAAGCTGAGTAAGGCTGACCAAGTCCAACTCCAGAGCTATGCTCTAAAAGTGCCTAGTAGTTTTAAATAAAGTGTGTATGTTTTTGTTTTTTTCTTTTAAATTATTTTTATTTATTTTTTATTTCCAGGCACATGGAGTAATATATTTTCTCAGAGTTTTATGGATGCTGTCTACCTCTCAGGTCATTCAGAGGACTTCTGGCACAGGTGGACCCGGGGCACTGAGCATGATATTGGTTAGTTATTTGGATTACTTGATGCTTGCATCTGCACTATCTTCACACACCTCTGAAATGGGAAGCCGTTTAGGGGGAATTTGATTTTGTATCTGGTTCTGTCTCTGGTCAAGCCCTTGGGAGTGAAGGAAAAGCAGGAAAAACAATACTGTTTCCCATACAAAATCCCTAGAGAGTTTTGTGCATGGCAGGGGGATCACCAGGAACAGCCAGGGATGGAGATGGAGAGGCAGGGAGGAGTCACAGGATGCTGCTGTGAAATGGAGCCCCCCCGACCCCTCCAAGCACAGCCAACACAGCAGGCATGTGCTGCTTGTGGGTGCCACCTCCAGAGCATCTCTGGACATGGGCTCACTCTGCTGTGGGCTCCACATGCTGTGGCAGTCTGCTGGGCACATGGTGAAACCTGCCAGTTTTGCACTGGAGCTGATTGCAGCTGGAATACACCTGCTCCCTCCATTAGCTGTGGGATTTGCTGAACTCGTTAATCAGTACCTGTTTTAATTCCCAATTATTAAAGTGCTCAGGGATATCCTTGATGCGAGATGATCAGAAATTTAGATTTACTCCTCATTAGGCTTAGTATTGGAGAGATGCTCTAAATAGCTGCAGACACAAATCCTCTTCTCATCCCCTCCACAGAGGAGCAACCTGCTCTGCCCAAAAGGCCTCATGAACAGACGACTTCCTTATCCATTCCCAAAGGCTGCCTTTCCAATACTCTTCGAGACTTGATGACAGAGAGGCCAGTGGTTTCAAACTATCATAATTTCCTCAAGGGCTTGCAACTGCATAATGAATACTTGGAAAATGATCACTTCTGCATGTGGAAAGGTGAGGAGACCTGTTTTCAGATATATTTTGAAGTGGACTTGAGGGCTGATGCAAGCTAGGGCTAAATAGCAGATAAGATTTGCTATTAAGGCAAATTTTCACTGATGCTGCTACAAGCATTTAAGTAATTGTTTGTGCTGGGAAGCTGCCTATGAAGCTGGTTTTGTTATGTCCTGAAGGATTTACTTCTGGTCTTGTTTTTATTGTGAAAAAGCAAGAATTACTCTCTTTTTTACTCTCTTTTTTTTTTTTTTTTTTTTTTTTTTTTTTTTTTTTTTTTTTTTTTTTTTTTTTTTTTTTCTTTTTTTTTTTTTTTTTTACTCTCTTTTTTTTTTTTACTCTCTCTTACTCTCTTTTTCCCGGAAAAAGAGAGTAAGAGAGTTTTCCCGGAAAAACTCACAAAAGAGTTCACAACTCCTGTTGAAGCTGAAATAATTAGCCACAAATAGATTTACACCAGTTGCAAAAAGCAGATAAAATTATCACTTTGGATGAAGATAGCCTCAAAACTGTCCCCTTCTGCTGATCTCAGGGATGAGCTGTAGAGGCATAAGAAGACTAATTCTGCTGTCAACTTTCTTTCTGCTACTTTCTTCCTTGGCTATGCTCATTTGAAAAGAAAAGGACCTGCTCCTGCAGTCATCAGTTATTGACGTAAATTCTCTGACTTTCAGACACGATACTTGATTCTTCTCCCAACCAACTAACTGAAATGGATGACTACCTCAAGCTGGTGGATACAGCTTTCTTCATCAATACCAGCTGCCCACCCGTTTTGAGGCCAGAGAGGAAAGTGGATGTCATTTTGTATTTGAATTACAGCGGGGGATCACAGACCCTGGTGAGGTTTTGTAGTAGTGATTCTTCATGACTGCATTATCAACAGCTAAATTATTGTATTTCACTTTTCCAGAAAACGGTCTGATTTTTGTACATATTAGGGATGCTATGCAACATAATAAGTAAAATGCTGCTTTTATTATCAGGGCTATTTTCTATGGTTTTCTGAAACACAGTAAGGGCCACACCTGAACGCGCGCGCGCGCGCGCACACACACACACACACACACACACACACACACAAAAGTTGACATATTCTGCATATCTGTGGAACTTTATGACTGATATCAAAGTTCCTAAATATTTCATTAAATAACTTTTAAAAATGTAGTGTAATTAATACTTAATTTTACTTTTTAAAATTTTTTTGCCTTTCTCTTCCATTTGACTCTGGATGCTTACATAAGCCTCAGTCAGGTTTAGTGTTTTGCATGTTTGAAGAAACACTGAGGGGGCTGTGAGATGGAAAATAGTATGATTTGTTTGCTGAAGAATATGAAGACATTGATTTCTGAATACACTGAATAGAAATGCTCAATAACCTGTGATCTGTGAGAAACTACATTTAACCAAAATTTCATGACCTATATAGTCTGCTGAGCACACTAATTTACAAAAATGTCCTGAGTCGTGTTTGAGTTTAGAATACAGTAATTTTGACTTAGAAATATATGCTTTTAGGAAACAAAACACTAGTCCTGCACCCAGCAAGTTTTAAAAGCAAGGGGACAGGCTTGTTCCAGAGGATAATAAGCCATATTTGGAAAACACATAAAATAAGCACACATTTGCTTAATGCAATGCAATATCAGTAACAGGCTTGGGCTCGTTTTCTTTCAACCTCTCCTTGTGCTGCAACTCTGTTCTTCCCTGACCCAGCCACTGGACCTGTTCTCCGAGTACTGCACGGAGCAAGGCATCCCGTTCCCCCGGACGGAGCTGAGCGAGGACGACCGGGAGCACCTGAAGGAGTGCTACCTGTTTGAGGACAACGCGGAGGCACCGGTCTTGCTCTATTTCCCATTGGTGTGTGACACCTTCCAAAAATACAAGGCTCCTAGTAAGTTATGAGCATTAATCATGTTGTGAGATTGACAGATAGCTTATCTGTTAAATCCATCTCCCCTCTAAAATGAGGAACTAGCAAGTTTCTCAGTTGGCTGAGTTTCCGTATTCACAACTCTGCTGTGTTGGGTTTCATTTTGGCCAGTTAATCAGGGACTGAACTAAAGAATTTCAAAATTAAAAGAATGAACTGCTGTAGCTAGATATAAAATGCATCTGAAGCCTGAGATCACTTACTTTCTTTTGATCCTCAAGGATAGGAGGCACCTGAAAAGTTGCACTTACAACTAGCTTAGATTAGCACTCAATGGTCGTCTATAATGAGGTCAGTTTTACTAGTGTGGCAGGTTTAGTGTCTATGTCATAACTAAATCTTGAGCCATCTTCCTGAGAGAATTAACCTTCTTGGGGCTACTTCTTTTGTTCTCCATGGCATGGTATGAGTCTCCCAGCTCAGTAATCTTGTTATGAATTTCACTGTTTTTGCTTCAGATGTGGAACGCAGTCCCATGGAAAAGGATCAGGGGAAAGTAAACGTGTCCGGTTGTGCCGTTCCATATGGCACTGGTCTACTTACATATACTGAAGAAAACTTCAACAGGCTGTTGAACTTGTGCAACTACAACATCCTCAATAATAAACATTTAATTCTTCAGGCTTTACGAACTGCAGTAGAACGAAAGAAGCTGTTTAAAAGCTGTTCATTACCTCGATCATCTAAACTCTGTTAAAATATGTTTTGACCAATGCCGTCAGAAGGAGATACATGGAAGTTTTGGCATCTGACTAATAAGTAAATAATCAGAAAACATGAATCCATACAAAATGAACTTCAACATCAGCTTGTTAAATGGAAAAAATCATGCCTTTAAGTAGTGTGTGTTGTGATTAATGCTGGTTCTGGCATTAAAGTCATTGGCAAATTGTGATCGATCTTATAAAATTCACTCCACTGCAGTAGCTAGTGGGAATGCACTGTTGTAGGATCCTGTTGATATATGGTAATATACTGAGGAGGTTTAAACCTGAGAAGAGTCCATGCCATGATTGGATCCAACTCTTAATTGTATGTGGGCTTTATTCTACAGAGCAAAGCAAAGATCAAAGTCTTCCCTTATGTCTCTGCTTTTCACAGTAGCACGTGCCAAAAGATATCAAAGGATGTTTGCACCTGGAAGAAGAGGACTGATAATTGAAGAATGTTATTGTAGGCAGTACCCTTGGTTTTGTCAGAATTTCATTGAATATACCTGTTTGCCATTGAACTGACTCTATTTTTTGATCAACTACTCCAGGATATTTTTCTATTAACTGTTTCATAAAAATTGTCTGGCTTCATTCACTTTTGCTGAACTTCTCCCTAGGCTATTGCCTACCTAATGGATTTTGAAATCAAGGAAACGGTTAAGACTTTGAATTATATACATTCTGGTTTTGGAGAATCAATTTAACAGCCTACCCTTCGGCCATAACCTTAATTTCAGTTATTAATCTGCATGTTAAACAGTCATGGTAACAAAATTTGTGATGCCTGCTCTATTCACTTCTGCAACATCTGGATAATCTAAGATGATGCAGCTGTTGCTACAGCTTTGTTCCCACTGTCATCCAAGGCACAGTCAGGTGTGCTGAAGAGACTGTTTCATATCTGGAAGAGATTAACATCTGTTTAAGAAGATGCGTGCAAATGGTTATTATAACAACTTAAATCATGAATAAATTGATACATGTACACTGTAATAGCTACTATTCAAATACTAAGTACCCGTACAAAATCTTATTAAAAAGTAGCAAAGTAGCAGTCTCTTAGATGCGATTATTGCAATTTTTTTTTTTTAAAGTTCCACAGTTTGCCTTGTGAGTTTTTCTGGGAAGACACCTGTTTTTGAAAGCAAAGTGCATAAGGCCAGGATAATAGTGAGCTGTTTACAAGTCTAAATGCCACTCTTCCAAATGCCATGGTATTTATGTACTAATACAGGTGGCAACCATTTGAAATTGTTTTGCTAGTGTGAACAGAATTCACTGTATGCTTCATTTGGGGTTTTTATCAGTCCTTTCTTCTCCCCTTTGCTGCCATCTCATTTGTTACACTGATGTGTGCTTAAAAAAATCCAAGCATCCTTTTGTTGTTCTGTCATTCATTCACTGGGATAGCAAAAGCTTGTCCTTGCTCCCCTCCCTTGCCATGTCAGAAAGGAAATAGTCCCTGTCATGCAGTCTTGGAGACTCCTGTGTATTTAGCAGGAGATGCCATTGTGCTTTGTCACCTCTATGGTAGTTCTTTTTCTATGCATCTGTTCAAAATAATATATCCAAACTGAAGTATTAAGATAATTGCACCCAACAAGCTTTGGTGCCATATGAATCACACAGATCCCTCTATGTAAAAGAAAATTATTGCTGGCAGTAACCTGTGCCAGTCTTCTTCACAACATCAAGGTGGTTCTGTCCCACAACTCTTCTTTTTTTCTCTCTTTTTTTTTCTTCTCTCTCTCTCTCTCTCTCTCTCTCTCTCTCTCAACCCTGCCCTCTTAACCAGAAGGCCATCTTATTTCAACTCATTTTCTTGATCTTGCTCATATTTTGATATTCTGGCTCACCAGTAAGATGGCAGTAGTCTTACGTGAACAAAGTAGAAAAGGAAGATGTCATTTTCAGTTGTGTTCATTCTTGTTTTAAAAAAAAAATCATGTTTTTAAGAATATTTAAGTGTTTAATTTTTTTTCTTATTTTATTTTTTGAGTGTTGGTTTTGCAACACATAGCACTGGACCTTGAACTTTACTCACGCAAGGTGTGGCGATGTGTGTATTTGGCAGTGGATTCGGAGAACCAGGATGGCTGCCAGTGTGCTACAGAAAGGAGGGAGTCGTTTAAAAGAACGTGGACCTGCTAAGTTAGCAACCAAAAATTTTCCTTGCTCCAATTGCCTAAGTTAACAAATTGATATCGTGACTTGAAGGAAAGCCCTGACAAATAGCAGAGTTTGAGGAGGGACCTGTCTCCGAAGAGCCAATGTCTCACATGAGGATAATGGTGGCTCTGAGTGTTCCCTTCAACGGACTCATTTGAATTCTTCTGTGGAGAATTAAAGGGAATTTTTCCTGTCCCATTAAAGTCAACATGAAACTAGAGGTGAGGGGACGTTTATTCAAATGACTTACCAGCTGCTAAGCAAAAAATACCAGAGGGAAGAAGCTTGGTGTTAGCGATGCTGTGGGTGAACTGTAGGCTGGGTTTTCAAATGATTTGGCAGTAGTATAACTGCTATTAAAGCTCATGGTAGCTCAGCAACAATTTCTTTTTTTGACAACACTGGCTTGTGACCTGTCACACAAGCTCTGCCAACTGTGAGGGTGCTGCCCTGGAAGCAATTAGGTGTCAATGTAGTCTCTGGCAGGGCACTCTCGAGTCTGTCTGTGAGTGGAGTTTTACCCCCTTAATCACGTGGTGCCATGAGACGACCTCCTTGAGACTGATTCAGTTCAAATTGTCATCAAGGCCCAGGATTTCTATAAAGGTCCTAGGCTGGGCATTGGTGCCACATTCATGCTAAAGCCATTACTTCAGAGACTCCCCTGACTAATTAGCTGGCACAGAAAGGTGTTGGCATTCTTCATGTCTATGGGCTGACTGGATTAAGGAAGGGAAAAGGTTACTTGAACTTTTGAGCTGTTGAATGAACCTGGAAAGTTCAGAAGGCCTCAAGTTTTTCACACAGGAGCAACAGAGATTTGGTCAGATGTTCCCATCTCCAGAGCCCGGGGAGTCAGAAATAATGGTCGTGAGCTTCTGCTTTTTGACAGAAGGGTTGGATTTGAAATCCTTCTTACAAGAAAAGAGAAGCCAGGATTGCATATATTTAGAAATGTTGGGCTAATACTTCACTGATGACTTTTGGATGAGAAAAAACATTGAGTCCTTTCCTATGAGAGAGGAGGAGGAGGGAGATCTTTATCTCTTTAGCTCTTCAAAACATTTAGGGGCATGTGAAATCTATTTTAATCGGGTTTCTCAATAGATCTTTGGAGACAAAAGTCATCCCTAATGTATGTCATAATCAGGATAGTGCATTATTTAAAAAGAAAAAAAAATAGGCAACCAAACAAAAAAAAATCCTACTAAAAACCTATACAGTACTAAAAGAGTAAATATTTTGACTGAAATGCTCTTTTTTAATGCAAAATACTTTGTTTAGAGTAACTTTAAAAGTTATGCTAAACAACATCTAAACTAGTTTCAGATGAACAAAATATTTTTTTAATCTGAAAATATTCTTTGATTTTTTTGAATTATTTTAAAAGATGATACCCTTTCACAAAGGATACCTATTTAGCCAGCATCTCTTCAAAATCATCTTTTCACATATTCAGTGCAGCCCTCCTCTAACTTCCATTCAAACACACCTGTGGTTGGAGGCCTTTTCCACTCATGCCTTAGGTTATGATGCTGTAAATCCTAGTAATCTTGAAAGCTGTTTTTTTTTGGCCAAAACAAGATTTCCATCTCTGGTGTTATGGCTGGATATCTCCACAAAATTCTGTGCATCATACAGACTTCATGCTTCCTGCCTGTTGGAACAGAAAATAGAGGGTGAATGGAGTTTTTTCTCTGGAGTCTTGATGCACACTCCTCCAAGGGTGATTTCTTGTGACCTCCTCCTTTGCGTTGTGTTCAATTAGTGACACCGAATGTCAAGAGTGCTGAAGATATTGCATGTATCAATATATTGCATATATCAACGTGAAGCTAAAATGCCAGACGTGTTGATGTGAAAGGTAGATTTTAATAGGGGTATTGTCTGAAATTAGTTGCTGGCTAAAGAATTGGTAGTCAAAGTATGATCTTTCAGGGCTGAAATGTGTTGTAATGGGGAAGGATTGGTGCTTTTGTGCCATGACAAAAGTTATTTTGTGCAGAGTTTATCAAGCTTGGTACCACGGTATAACTGGAATTTGACTTCTTGCTGTCTTGCCTCATTGGCTGAATGAGGTCCTTGTAGTTTTTGTAGTCTGCAGATTTTTATTTTATCTTATTTTTAAGACTGAAAGAGATCTCAGGAGAGAGACTAATTATTCTTCCATGACTGAAGCTGTGAATAAACCACCTTTCTATTTATGTTCATGATGTTTTAATAATGACCAACTCTTGTTGTCATCACAAAGGCGGTACAAGTGTACTTTTTCTCTTGCAAGAATATGAAATCTCCCATTAGTCATACATTTGTGAAATCCTGAATTATCATAAGGTGACAAAATATTTAAGTGGTATATGGAGTAATTGTAGGATGCTGGATGCTCATGTCATTGCTACCTGCAACCCATTGAACTTAGATATACAGTTGTCTTGGTATCATACTGGAAAGCTAGTGTTTGCAAGAGAGTAGCTTAGATGAATTTTGGCAGCCTCAGATCGACAAGATATTTGTTCCATTTTGCTTTAAGATACAGATACAAAGTTATGTTCATGTAGATGTGTGGTATAAAGTAAGTGGAGAGCAGAGGAAAATGATGTTTTCATATTTTTATTGCTCATAGTTGCAGAGATTTTGGGATGTTCCCTTGACAATGTAAATCCTTCTTGCCTTCAAGCACAAAAACCAGAGTGTAAGTAGCACGTATGTGTAGAACACTGCAGGTTTTAAATGATCTACTTTGGAAATATGATTACTAAACAAATTGACTAGTCTCAACGTATAGCTCATTAGACGTTGGGTAACTTCACCCATGAATTTACCTAATGCATGC